ATCGATTATATTCAAATATGGTACTCCAATATCAAATTATGTTTTCCCAAGCATAAGAAATATTATCCTTTGCTTCAAGGGATCAAACAATCATTAGTGAACTAAAAGAATGAGCTTCATCTATATCAAAGCACTTTGAAATCCTTTTCAACATCATCTTATTTTTGAATTTAACTCAATAAGTTCTCAATTTGCAATATTGCAACAAAATGATATTTCATGATAATTCTTTGAAGTTAAACTCTTATAAAGTTTAATGCTAATCAAATCATATTATTGTATTGCAACAATAGAAAATTCAAATCTCACTCAAAACATATGAATGTGATATTTTCAAATCTCTTTTCTAAAAAGAATTCATTAAGACAATTGTACTACTTTTCCCTTATTACTCAATTGATACAAATCCTTTAATTGTTTTAAAAAAAATGTCGTTTTGAATTTTGAGAATTTTGAGTCATATGGCTTAGGCATATTAAATCTTACCTGAATTTTCACATAACTATTAAATATTCAAATGTTGTAATATTCATAAAATGAATTTAATATTGTATAGGATTCTCCAAAATATATGATAGTAATAATATCCATCATAAAAGAATTTATTCTCAAAACCAATTTCCAGTTTTGTATAAATCTTTAAGTTACAAGTTATTATTTATATTCATATAACTTATGATAAATATCACTTGTTATGCGAGCTTTACATTATCATGTTTTTTGTACTATTGATTCAAAAATTTCATGCTATTCTTATAAATTTAATTTTACTTAGATCGTGTCTCATCATATTGGCCAATAATTTATTTGTTAATAATTTCCAACTAATTTTGATCTAAGATCCTTTTTTCATTTGATTATATCTTTCATTGTTACATATGCAAAAATATCATTAATAATAATTTTATTTGGCCTTTATCCTTTTCTACGAGAGTCATAATTCATAGAAATTCTATCTTTTTTTAAAGAACCATATTTCATAGATATCTTATAATTGTATAAAATTGTTATTATTTTACTGGATCATTTTATTAGGTTATATTCTCAAAAACTCTTGAAGAGTTTTTGTGATTTGTATCCTTACAACCATCTATTTTAACACATTTCTTGCATGCACATAATACACTCATTTACTAATGTTCTAACAATTCTTTTAATATTAGAATAGTACATAATATACTCTTCTAGTCACTTTTATTTAATTAATAAATGCATTAAATAATTGATAGTACAAAATTTTAGAATTCCAATTTATATTAACTTATTTGAGGATCTTGGGCAATGCATCTTAAGTTATCTTCTAATCTTCTCCCTCTAATGCTAGGAACATGGTTTTTTTAGATTGATAATAAACAAATTATGTTGTGAATATATTAATAGTCAATTATTTAAAATAGGTTAAACCCCCAATTTGGTCCCTCAACTATTATGCGGACCCTTGATTTGATTCTTGAACTAAAAAAATGCCTAATTTGATCCCTATTATTACCAATTTGACTCTAAGTTGGTCATTTCGTACAAAAACAATGATGTATTTCGTTATTAACGTAACACGTGGTTGTTAAGTAATGGTTTTCTACTATTAAGTAATCAGCACATTAATTATTTTTTAACAAAAAATCAACTTGGGATCAAATTGTTAAACATTAAGGACCAAATCAGGGATTTTTTTACTTCAATGACCAAATCAAAGGTCTGTACAATAATTGAGGGACCAAATTGAGGGACCAAATCAAGGGTTTAACCTTTAAATATTTAAAAATAATACCAACTTTTAATATAATATTACATGTTGGTTAAAGAACTCATGTATCACTATTATATTGCAGCATATATACATGACATAATATCTTAAACGTTTTGGATGGTGGAGTTTTAACTCATCATGTCTCCTTCAATATAATAATAAAGGAGATTCTATTTTAATTTCATTTATATAAAACTTGGTAATCATATTTCTAAGGAAATATAACATATAAAAAGTCATTTGTTAACCAAATCAATTAGGCCCGATAAAACTAATTTCAAGTTAATTTGATTCTATTCTATTTATGTATGTATATATAATTTAGAAGAGAAAGTTAATATTTTCGAATATATGTCTTTTGGCTACATATAAGAAATGTGATATTTAGATAATTTGTATCATTCTCTTCATGGTTTTAATATGATAATGATCATTTTTTTGTATCTTTAAAAATTTAATCGATTGTAATATAATCTACTAAAAATATAAATAATCACATGTATCAATAGTTTTTTATTTTTCCAAGCAATAGAATTTTAGTTTTATTGGAGCCTGTTATCATTCATAACATTTAAGCTCTTCCATAGTTTTATAAGTGTAATATCAAATATTACACTTATGGTAAGCTAACTGTAACTAGGAAAAGATTTTTGGAATGACAAAATATTATTGCATTATTTTCATGATATAAAATATTTCATATATAAATCTTTTTTTCACTTTCTCATTTATCACATCAACCCACATATTTAATAGCTTATACATCACTTTTATTTACTTACAATTTAGAATTCATGGTATCATCAAGTGATGTTTCATATGTTGTGTTCTTAATATGGGATTTTCTCTTTTATTCTTGATGTAGGATTTTCCCAGTTAATACGCCTCTTCATGTATATGCTTGACATGAACATGAGCTCTTGTCATGTGGCTGATGTCCCTTAACATGTAGGCTCAATATGAATTTCGAGTCCTATTATGTGGGTCAACAGTGGATTTCCTAAGGATAAAGCTTGAGCTCTGATACTATAGTTTTTAATATTAAATTAAACTAGTGAATCACCATTTTCTTTTCTCAGTGCATGGAGATATATATATTTAAGAATCTCAAACACTATTGTAAATGTCTATCAAGGCATGCCCTTCGTTAAAGTGCCCTATAATTGTTCATTTTTATCTTGCAACATCATATTATATAATTGTATAATATGATTGTATATTATATTTACTTATGTAAGTACTATTATACTTTATAGTATAATATGAGTGCTATATAAAATTTTGATAGACACCATTAAAACCAATAATAATATGTAAGGATACCTTTTTTTTCTTTCTTCTCCATCCACATATGATTTTGACATTAAAAGTGGATCATATAGGAAAGTGAATCATCATAATGTTGGGATATAAATCCTTAAGTGAGAAGTATTATTTTCAAATGAATACGAGATACACAACTTTAATACCAAATTATATATTATAAGTATCACAAGTGTATACCCATCATGATGATATTTCCCATGAAATTAAATGTTGTACTTTTATTTTTTCTTTGTGTGATATTGAGATAATCGCTTGGATATGTAATAAGTATGGTGACTTTTTATATTATATCCATAATAAGTCTCTTTAAAACTTTGTCTTTATGTCATCTATTATAAAAAGCACTTTCCTAATTCTTAGTTGGTTTCTTATGCAAATCCTTTCAATTTGCAAATTTTTTGTCAATATATCTATAATTTGAAATTGATATCAAAGAAGATTATAACCATAATCATGACTATGTTTACACCCATAATTACTATATAATACTACATCTAGTTTAGGGAATGGGAATAAATCATTGGGTTGTGATTAATTATTAGAATATTAGCAATGATATGGTAACCTTTTATGTAAGTATCAATATTGCGCTCTTGATATTGCTACCATTGGAGCATATTCAAGGCATAGAAGAAGAGTGTATCTTCTTTAAAATATTTCATCAAAACCATTTTCTCCAGAAGAATTAATTCAAAATCTTTGTAGATTTACACTCAAGTTATAAATAGATTCATCCATAGCTAGCTTTTGGAAGAATTTTTTTTCTATTCTTCAATAATCATTACATTCTATCAAACTATTCCAAGATTCTATGAATTGTTTTATGATTAAATATCATCCTTTAACTCTTTATAAACTTGATGATGAAACAATACTTTTAACGCAATCCGACAAAAATGCTTTATTCCCCTCAAGGAAATTTTCTCTCTCTCTTTTTTATTGGATTCATTATTCTCTTCCATAATCGAATTTTACGATTTATTGTAACAAATGAATCATTTATACAGTTTATAACAAATGTTTGAAGCTTAATTTCGCAAAGGCAACAAGCTCAAAGTTTGAGATTTTCTATAATTGCTACAAAAGTTTCAAAATTATTAGTATAAAAGTTTGTTTAATTTGTGCCCTAAGAAAGTATTAATTATATCCTTTTGTACTTAATTTATATAAAAAAATAAAAGTTAATTTTAATTTTATTAACTACCCAATTAAAATAATCTAAGTGGTATTGGTGTTAAAATAATATTTTATTTTTACATTTTTTAATAAAAATTTATTACAAAATAATGCATTTAATGCATTTTAACATGTGTCTTTAAGGCAAAGGTTAGATAAATTTTTAGTATAATATATGAACTTGAATAATTATAAAAGTATATTCAAGATAAGATGAGATAAAAATAAAAATCTTACCTCAAAGTCTTATTTCAATAATCTTACATAAAAAATATTGTTACCTCAAATTGATCACAAAAACATATTGCACAAAGATAGTTTATGCTGATAACATATTATAAAATGAGCTATCATTGAGTTAGAGAAAAGTAAATATATAAACAAGACAAGGAAAGATTATGAAGAGAGAAGAAAGAAATAGTATGCTTTCTATTCTTCCATTTTTTTTCTATTCTCCAGTTTCATACAATACCAGTCTATATATAGGTAAAGTGATAATGAATGGATGAACTTGAATAGATTCATAAGGATGAAGTTGACTAAATTCATGAATGAAACTTAATTAGAACATTGAATCTTTGTCAGTTTCACGAATGTGATAGTTCTATGAATATATCAGTTCATGAATGTGGTAGTTTAATAAAAGTGATTAATGGAATTTTGAATAAAAGTGAATATAGAAGATGGAAGATGATAAGTGACATGTATAAGGTGAAACATTTATTTATTGTATAATTTATACTACTATTTTGGTTAGTTTAGATTATTTTCTTCTCTCATTTTTATTTTTTTTCAAAATTTAACATATTGTTTTAAATAAAATTTACAGTGTTGTATATGGTTGGTGTTGCACCAAAATGAGGAACAAGTGGTATGAGTGTGTACTATGATATCGTTGTCTTGAGCCAAGCTTCGTTGGCTAGCGATACTTGCTGACATATAAGACACTGAAAATATGTGTTATGAGTCGGGATTACTGGCAACCAATAATTTTGTCTCTTTGTGTAGAAGAGTGATAATGTGCATGACCTTCGGCCATGTTACATATGTATTGCGGGGTTAGCCATGCATAGCTTCCCCGTAACCAAAGAGACAATAGTGGCTAGATTTGGCCATGGCTGGAATGTGAACTATAGGGAATCAAAAGAGCACTCTCACTAATTTGCCAAGCCACAAAGGGGTAATCCTATTAAACCAGACTCTGCCATAACGATGAATATGTATAGAGAAAGGTGAAGTTGTCTCCAAGGAAGGGGGATGCTAGCCACATCCATGGCCTCTGATATGACAAAGTGTGGTACCATTGATAAATGCTGGCCTTTCTTGCTGTACTCGCACCATTAGAGGATGGTCCTGATTGTTGTTGCTCGTTGGGTACCGTACCAACATGCACGGGCGACCACCAAGGGATTGCTGGTCACTATTTGATGGATTTTATCGTTGGAGGGTAGCTATCTCATCCAATTGTAGGGTTGCAACTATTACCGGTCTCATGCTAATCGTACCAAGTTGCACTGACTCTTTGTTTGTTTTTGGGAGTCAGTGAGAGAATATGTAGAAATTCGACCCTTTGTTTGTTATCGGGAGCCAGTGTAATAAAATATGTGGAGATGTGTAACCTATTACCCATTGCTGGAGGCTAGATGGGATAGTAAATTTAGCCTTTTGTCCATCACTAGAGGTTGTGTAGGTGTAATAGGATCACCTTGTTGTCCATTGATGGGAACTAGTGATAGAGATATGTAGAGATAGATGTTTGGCTCGTTGCCCATCATGAGGAGCTATGCAGATCAGATTGTTGTCCTTTGACAGGAGCCATGTAGTAAAGTAGGCTCTTTGTCCATTATTGGGAGCCACATGATACAACAGTGAACATCGCTGTAGAGGACATAACTATCAAGAAATGCCCAGTCATGTCGCCAAAATAGATCTAGTCGTGTTTGGCCATGTATGTGAAAATAGATGTTGGAATAAGTTACATTTTGTGATGTCTCGAGCGAAGTGCATGAGTGTCGTTTCTGGCGATGCTGATTTCATTGCAGCAATTAGTAGAAAATAGGAATTACACATATGATGTGGGAAATGAGCGTTGTGGATCCTTGCTGATGAGGATCCGCACACGTCATTGATTTTGCAACTATACAAATTCATCCCTCAACATAAACCAAACATACCCAAAAAGTTGAAAGAGCAAAGTAGAAATCAACAAATCTAAAAAAAAATAATAATAATAATTAAGGGACAATTTTTATTATACAAGCTTTTATATTATTTATTAATTAATTTTCTTATACATTATTAAGATCTATAATATTATATATATTTATTAATTTAGTTTACCTAAAAATCACAAATAAAATTATACAAATAAGTTGTCCATTTATTATTAAAAAAAAGATATATAGAAACAAATAGATAAAGGAAGGGTAAATAATACATAGAATTCTAATACCATCTAGAGATAAAGGGAATATAAATCTACTATCTTAAAGGGATATAAATTTAAAAGAGTAGAGATCAACTTGCATTAGTATAAGAATACTGTCCCACAATTTTTGGTATAGTTAATATTTAGAATAATCAACTGTTTTTATTATAAAGACCATACACGTCAAATTTCATTTTTAATTGAATATGTTTAACAATTTCATTAATATTATAAAATTTTATACCGTTATGTTAGAAAATATAATTTCTTTCATCACATAACTATATATGTTTGATCAAGTTGAGATTTGAAAATTGACCTAAATATTTTACATAAATATACCAATTAATTCAATATTAATTTTTTAAATATTAATTGTACTAAAAATTATGAACCAATACAAAATTTTTTAGAATGATAATCAAAACCAAAAACCCATAAGCTTGCCAAATATAAATTTATTTGTTACTTCAATAGGATGTTTGGTTTGAGAAAAAATAAAAATAAAAAATAAAAAAAATTTAACTAATTAAATTATAATATTTTAAAATAAATCAAGTAAACTATCACTCCCCTACCTTCAAACTAAATATACCCTAACCGAGCTAAATAGGTTAGTTCTTTGCATCGAAAAGTTGAAAGAAAGGCTTAAAAATTATGACATAGAAAAGTTCAAGAGCTGCATTAATTCTGCCTATATAAAAAGTATCCAGTTGAAAGGGATGAAAGAAAAACAAAAAGAAATATTAGCATCAACTCAGCACACATGTTCTACGTTAAATTTTACTCAAAATTCTAATAACGACTGCAATTTATTTATTTTTATTTTATTTTTTAAAATTAATTACTTAAAAAATCACAATAAATCTGAGTAATTCTGTGCAATAAATTTTATCGTATGTATTAGAAAATCCTATCTCGAGGAAAAAAGGAGGTGAATGACACAAAAGGTAAATACGATTTATGGGTTCAATCGAACCCTCGTAGTAAGTAGAGAAACGCGACCTTATTTCTGTTTCTCCCTACCGTCTTCTAACACTGAACCGAGACAGCACCAGCTCCGACATTGATTTCAATGGCCCAATCATCATCAGATCCCTCTGCTTTTTCTGATTTATGATTTTCTCTCTATCTGCTCCTTTGTTTCATGGCGATCGCAGCTGCTTCTTCCCTTTCCCTCGGTAATCACGATCAACACTCTCTTCTATTTTCCTTTACGTTCTTCTATTTCGAATTTCCGAGCTAGGTTTCTTTGCCTGTTTTTTATGAAACTTATAGACTGATTGTGTAATGGAATTGGCATTCTTAAGAAGTAGAAGGACGGAGATTCTTTTGTTAATTTGTTTAGAACCCAAATCCGTTTGCATGTTTTTGTGCGCAACCGTTTTGGTTATATACTCAATTATGTATTCTGCTGTTTTAAGGTCCTAGTTGATGGCATATGAGCTTACCCAACTGAATAATTTTGATAAAAAAAATGCAGGTGCAAATTAGTTATTTCTAGTTGAATTTTCAGTTTATCTTCTCCTTTTAAGCGTAATTTATTTATTTATTTTTTTTACTTGACGTTTCTCTCTCTCTCTTTATGCATAAAATTGATGATATTACGACAGAATTGTTTAGGTGCATACCCATGTTTAGTTGCATATCAAAAGGTAGTCTTCTATAAAGTATTTTGGACATAATTATATAATTTCTTGGCAAGTAGGAGGTTGATTGTCATCAATCATAACAAGAGTAACCATTATAGGATCTCCAAAATTTGTTCTCTAGAAGTTTATTAAGTGACTGAAAATGTCTAAAATATAAGAATTTGACTTGTGTTACTGTTCACCTCTTCCTTTCTCTCTCATCCACTCTCTTCTACTGTCTTTGTTTCTCTTATTAAATAGATGGTTGTTGATGGTCAGAAAGGCTTGGCAGACAAGTGTTGTGTTTTTAACCAACAAAGTGATAGAAATGATAGTGCCTCACTCTGTTTTGTTCGTCCCCTTTTTTAGACAAAAAAATGATCCGTCACTGCTTTCATGCTTGGTGCATCAATTGAGGAATCAAATGTAGGTTTGGGTTTGTCTAACACGTAGTGGCCAATTGGTCACTTCCCTGGGAAAGTGTTAGGACATTAAGCTTATTAAAATCTTGGGTTCTAAACCCTGGCCTCATAATCCCCACCCCCTATATTCCCCTAGTAACCAATGGAGCCTTGGGCTAACAGTTCAGGGTCCTAGGTCCCAGTGCTGTCTTGTGCAGGTTATTGCCTAACTTTATGATAGTTTCTTCAGTTTATAATTTTGTTTAAAACGATGATAAATGCCAATCTCTAGAACTTCTAGATTCTTAGGGAAGGCATGATTAAGCTAAAAAATAAAAGTAAGATCCAAAGATTGCTTTTGGCCCATTCATGCTAGAAAAGTTGAGAATTTCATGAACATCCTTAACTCTTTAAATGATATATAAACAAAGCTATTTAGCTTACTTAAGTTCCTATTTCCCAACCTAGCTTCTAATTGTAGTACAGTGCTAATTATGACATGGAAATGGAAAGTAGTCTTTCAGTGCTTGTTATATCTGTATTTGGAACTCAAAGCCTGCTCTCCTGTTTACTATCTGGTGATAAGTTTGAACATGTCTAACTAAATCACTCTTATGCTCTAGAAAAGTCCTAGATTTAAGTAGCATATGACCAAGTTATTTTGATTGTCCTTATTCACTTCCTCCTTCCCTCCTTTATCTTTTTATAAAATTATTTAATTGAATTTCTGTTCTTTTCTAGCTGATAACACAGTCAATCTCCTCAACCTCGATACAGTTTCTCTTTTCTTATGTGCATAATATAGTGGAGGTGCCTGATATTGCTCCACAAAGCGTAGTTGATTTTGACATTTTGTATCCTTTACTAAATCCCCTTTTCACTTGATTGGTTTCTTAGAATCCATAGCATGGCAGTTCACCATTTCAGTCAATTTACTTTAATCTTGGATATAATGTTATGACCTAAAGCTCTCTTTACTTATCGGTAATGGAGTCTAAGATTGAAAACTTTAATTAGGTGGGAAGATGACTTACATAAATGGCTAGAGATCTATATAATCTAAGAAAAGCTTATATTCATTTTCCATTATAGTTTAAAATTTAACCTGAATTCAGAATCATTTTGCTGATACTGTTTACTGAAGCAGGATAGTACCTGCATAATTTCTTAATGGAATCTAAACACCGACAGATTCCTGTAGTTAACCCTATTTACTCACACAACTTTCATGTCTTTATCCCTTAGTGACATTATAAGTCAGCAGCAACTTTTAATTTGCTTGTAGTTATGTAAATATGTCTCTTTTCACTCATTCCGAACTTCAATTTAGTATGGTTTCATGTGTCATTGAGTGGTTAGCCTAAAGTTAGGTTATTGGTCATAGCTTTTGTTGATAGTTGGTTTTCACTGTTAGGATGCTTTGTAACTGTCACAAATCAAGTTTATGTCTAGTTTGTAGGTTCTATAACTCACTCTCTTTCTAGAAACGAAATGAAATAAACTAACAATAATGATTCTAGAATTTCTGGTTTTATTTTTTTTTTTAACCATTTATTTTCTGTTATGTAGAGATTTTGATTTTTTCTTTGCTGACATGTAGTGTTAAGTATTCAATGTTATGAATTTTTCAAGCTCTTTTTTGTGGCATGGTGCTTCAGGTCCCGTCCATTATCATTTATCTCAAGTAGAAGGGATTGCTAGCAGTTGGATGAAAACTGCATTTGATGGCTGCAAAGCTCCAGATTTTTCAGGCATAAGGTGAAATGTAGTTTGTATGTCTTAGCTAACATGGGAAATAGAAAATGATTGGATTGCATAAAACCTAGTTTGATAATTCTTGTGGGTGTTGTCTATGACTTTATGTCAGTTGGCAAGGTATTAAATTTTGGAATATTAATTATTCTGTTAAATTGCATCTGTATTTTTTATATCTACGATGAGAACTTAGGTGGTTCACAAATGCACCATTATTAAAAAGATGCTTTATTCATGAGAAACAATGAAAAAATGGTTACAGGTGTACCAAAGATTTAACTGTTAGCAATGTATGAGGATTTTATCGAGCAAAGCAGGATGTGTTAATTTAATGCTAGAATTATTTTATGAGAAGTGTGTAGCTATTCCATGTAGTTTGGGATAAAGCTTTAGGTACATATAACTGAGTCATAAGAATGGTGTTGGAATTGGCATTCATGTGAACCAAGAGAATTACTCCTGTGTTGATATATTTACTTCCAAATATCTGGTCACTTATCCTTTGCATTTCTTTCAGCTTTGTAATGGTATCCCTTACTGAAAATCTTGTTTTCCATGCTCAGTTTCAAAAGCAGGAATAAAATTTTCGGATCAACACAGTTTCATTGGTTATCCATTGGCCGTGAACTTAGCCCTTCAAAAGTTTCAGTTGCTGCAGATTATTCAGATTCGGTTCCTGATTCATCTAATTATATAAGTAACCAAGGTTACCATCCTCTTGAAGAACTGAAAGTTCGCAAAAGGATCCGGGAAACTAAACTTTCAATGGCCGAAATAGCGAGAACAACTGTTGAGGTGCATGTCTCTTGAGTACTTTGAATTACCTAAAAAACTGAGTGTTCAATGTTTTGAATGAGTAGTTGAATATGTTAAGGGAATCTGTTTGTTTCTTACTGATATGACATGATGGGTCTTCATTGGCAACAATTTTGCATTATTATATCCTTCCTTTTGTATTAGGCAAACAGCACTGCATTGCTTGTCTTTCCTGGGACAGTACACGCTGAGCCTCATGAACAAATTTCATGGGCTGAATTTCCATATTTGATCGATGATTATGGAGGTCAATTCTTCTTTCCTACTTTCTCATGTGTGGTATCATGTTGTAAAGCTGTCTTTGTTGATTTTCTAATAACATTCTTTTTAAATTCAGATATCTTTTTTGAAATTTTTGATGATGAGAACATCATACAAGATCGTGGGGCAAGTAATCCTGTGGTGAGGAAAAAGTTGCTTCTTAAATACTGTTCTTTATTTACATGGAGGCACTCTGCCTAAAGTAAGTCTGAGATCACTGCTTGTGCGCAAAGTTGGGTGCTAAACATTAGGAAGAACATAAGCCCAGCAGTAGTTGGGTGTATTCTTAATCTAAAGGTGGCTGAGAAATGGAATAGACATCTAATCATTTTATAAGTTTTTAGCTCTAGACTAACTGGTTCAAGTTAAGAAAATAAGCAGACTGCTGAATTTGTAAGAATCAATTTGGATGTGTTAGAAGACATTAAAATGTACATCCCATAGCATATTGTTTCATGCCTATCAGACAATTCCGTCTTTCTTCAAATGTAAGCTTATGGTGAAACAAAACCTCTATCCATCTGAGATAAACATGATTTGTATAGTCATGGAGAAGTCTCTATTTTTAAAAAGTCAAGAGTGTGTTACATACCCAATTAGATTTTTGCTACCCCTCCCAGGGCCCTTGACCCCCTCACTTCGTGCTGAAATTTACTGATTGCTTGACCTTCAGAATGCTTTGATTGGGATGGACTTTTCAATGTATGAGAATAAAGAGGTGGTTGATGGATTTAACATCTCAGATATGGGCAATGGTGGGATTCCTTTTGATGATGATTATTTTGAGGTTGGTAGCCACTAAATCTTACATTTTTAATTTTGATTGGTTAGTCCTCTACTGAAGTTTATACATGTATCAAACAGGTTCTGGATACTGAAGGATCTGATGCATCAGTTGACTGGGGGATGCCAGAAACTTCGAAATTGGTTCATCCTGTTTATTTCGCCAAGTGCTTGACAAAGGTGCTAACATCTTGGTCTTAGCTTTATTTTTCAATATGTTGAGGCCAAGGAGGGGTAACCGCAATTTTTTTTTTCTAAACAAGTACAACGATATGAATTAGTAGATAATGGAGTTTGTCTTTTGCTTTTGTTTATTAAACGTTGAATTAGGGTAATCTGGGATGGAAAGAAAATTTGCGTAGTGGTGAGGCAATTCATAGAGACATAACTTTGTTTTTAGGTCTTCTTTTCCTTTGATAATAAAAAAGGGATTGGTTTTATTTTATAATCTAAAATTTGACTACAAAACACCCCTTCCAAACTCCACTGTTTTGAGACTGTCATGGGGTAGTATGTCTGACATTTCAACTCAATCAAGTCTTAATCCTGAACTGGTTGTGGCTAGTTAATTTAATGCACTAATAATAGTTCATATTAGAGTTTTTTTTGGTAAAGAAAAGGCTTAAGTTAATTACAAGAGAAACTACTGTCCTGAGTTTGCACATTCTTGCAGGCTGTGGACATGGAATATGATAAAAAAATGGACCATCCATCAAATGGTGTTTCTATTATAGGTTGCCTTCGACCTGCCTTTGCAGATGAAGCATTATATTTAAGAAGGTTATTTCACTTTGAAGAAAGTGATGGCTATGCCTCAGACTCCAAAGGTGCCTTATTTTAATGGATGGCAATTAGCTAGTTGTTTGATAATGCTAGTCTATGCATATGCATGCACATGTGCATGTTTGTCTTCTTTTTGTTTACTTTTCTTTTTTTTTTTTTTTTATAATAATATACATGTTTGTATTCAATGGCTAGATTTAAATCCATGGCTTTCTATTACTGAGTTGGAATTGTCTATTTTGAATTTATACATGGAGCAGATCCTATCAGGAATTCTTCTTTCTTTCCTTTTTCCGGTTTTATCTCCAATGTGAGAGCATTCCATCTGGCTGTTTCTGTTTTTAGAATAAATAAAAACCTAAGGTGTTTTCTGGTGTCTAAGCCATAAAATTTAATTTTAGCGTGCTTTACCTACCAGAATGATAGACCTTTCACTTTCTTTTGGTCTGTTACCTAGTTTCTCCAAATTTTAGTTCTGTAAAATGGTTTCCTTCTGTATCTATTAAATATTCAGGAGTAAAATTTCATTTACATTTGGAATTTTCTCCAACAAGAGACCACCTTAGGTGTTTTGCTGTAAATGTTCCTTATTTCTAAGGGGGAAATGATAATATTCTGCATAAACATTTTTTTTTCCCGGTATCTCTAGCTACTTGTTATTAAAAGTTATTTTGTTAATATCTGAAGATTTTCCTTCTGCCTCAATTTTTTCATTTTCTCCTTGTCTAGAGGATGAATTTTTGAGCCTAAGATCCAAAATGGATGGAAGCAAATGTAGCTCTACTCTCTACCGATTGGAGATAATAAAAATGGAGCTATTTTCTGTCTATGGTGTTCAGGCAAGTGATTTATACAGGGCTAAATTTTTAAGGTTTTAGAAATAATGCTTGCTAAATAGATTCTTTGGGGAATATTGGTTTCTACAGGGCTATAGATTATAGATGAAGGCATGCATGGAACAAGAATATTATTATTTTATATGGTGGCTGTCTTCTGAATCATTGAGTGATGCAATCCTGAGAAAGAATTATCATTGTTTTATAGCAATTGTCTTCTAAGAACTTCATTTTTCTTTTTCTTTTTTTTTTTTAAGAATGTAATATGTTTTGGCATATCTGTATTGATTATATAACCATTTTTTTTTTCTTTTTGAGAAGTGTTGATTATGTAACTTAAATTGTAATTTAGCGTCTATTTTCTATATTTGCAGTCCTCAATTAGCTTGGAAGATTATCAAGATGCTGAGCCTGATGTCCTTGTTCACTCTACTTCAGCAATTTTGGAGCACTTCAATGAGAAAGAAATTAGATGCAATGTTGCTCTTAAAGCCCTATGCAAGAAAAAGGGTATCCAGGTAGAGGTAAAGAAAAGATAACCTGTTAAAATTTCATGTCCTCCATTTTCTTTTTATATTTTGGATAATGTGTGTATCCAACCCTTTGGTGTGATTCGTCCTATGAGCACCTAGAATTATGAACAAGCCTGCCTGTGGACACCGGTCAAGGCTTCACCCAAGGGTCTTATGAGGGATCTTTTGTGCCTTTATTTGCATGAGATAAACACATGCATATCTCAGCCATCATCTTTTATAAACTTTTATGCCATCCATGAGTTTGGCATAGCTATCTCTTGCCTAAGACATGGTCAAAAACTCTAACTGCACAAGCACTCTTCCTTTGACTATGATTTATTTAGGTTGGGTTTGCAAGTGAAGGATTCTAAAAGAGCAATTGCAATGTACAAACTATGGAACATTGGAATTTCAAATTTCTTTTCTAATGATGAATTGAAAATGTAGTGGTTGTAATACAAAAGTTTGTCATTTTAAAATACCACTTAAAAGGTGTTTTTTTGATGTATCCAAATCCTCATTTTCCTCTAGTTAAACTTCTCTCTCCCTCCTTGCCAAAATTGGAATTTAAATTCCTTCACATTTTCTTCTTATGATCTCAAATTAAAATTTTTCATCCTAGCACAACCCTAGAGTTTGTGAAATTGAAATTGACTTTTTCATTATACAGGGAGCTAGGTTGATTGGGGTTGATAGTCTTGGAATGGATGTAAGAGTTTTCTCTGGACTGGAAGTGAGGACTCATCGTTTTCCTTTCAAAGTTCAGGTAAGCAACTCATGGCATGGAGGAAGACACAATTAAAATAAAAATAAAAATAAGTAATCCAAAAAGAGCTTTCTTTCAGGCCATGTGATTGTTTCTTAGCCTTAAAATTGACTCTCACTAGCAGCAGTGAATGCTAAGGCTAAATGGATTTTTAAAATGGTGTGTGTGCATACACATGATTTTGGTTTGTTGAGGTTGCCTCGCTCCATTTGGTAAATGACAGTTCTTGAATCAAAGACATCCACTTGAATTTTTTCTAGTCAAAGCATAAAGTTAGAGGTCTCATATTATTTGCCATATCAAATTATGAACAGGAAAGACCAAAGTTTTATACAATTTTGTTACTTAAGGCATTAGCATTCTTCAGTTTGGACTAACCAATTTGTTGCTGGATTGAAGGCCATGTCTGAAACTGCAGCCAAGAAGCAGATCCGGCAACTGCTGTTCCCCAGATCTCGCAGAAAGAAATTTAGAACTTACAGTGATGGACTCAGAGACACAAGCTCCTTCTAACTTCCGTGTTTCATTCTGATGAATGGACAACCTAAATGTGGAAGGTTCTTTGCACCAACATTTTTGTATCATTAGTTTGACCAGAGGCAGACACATTTGGCGCTATAAATAAAATCGAGTTCAAGAGAAGCACTTTTTCTGAAGGGTATAGGAGTACGAGTGGCTGAGTTGCTGCAATGGCAAGCAGTGTTTCCGTAGAATTGTTCAAAAAGCATTGTTATATGGAATTGAAATAATGTTATTTTTAAGTCAAAAAGAGCTGTCGATTGTAGAATTAAGAAGCTATTCTAGAAGTGGAGCAAAACATCAGTTACCAAGTGCATATTCCGGACCTAAGCTCTAGGTGATCTTTGTTGTACATAGTGAAATAAGCAGGCTTTACTAGGCAAAATAATGAAATCTGCGTTGAATTGCAGCTAGCTGTGCCTGGCTTGTTTGATACAAATATGAGGTCATCATTATTATAGAAATGGAGTCAATGTTCTTCCATTCTTATTTTCAGGGCAAGGTTGAATTGACAAGGTTTTCCATCTCTTATTCACAACAACAACGAAAGTGAAATTTGATACTAAATCGCTTGGATTCCAATAAAGCCTTGGTGCACTGTGGTAAGAGATTTTGAAACCTGATTAAGGTTTTAAGTATTGAGTCTTGCCATGTAGGTTTAGTTCAACTTTATAGGAGTTTGTATAATTCGTAATTTAGCTTAGTAGTTAGTTTGCATGGTGAGTTTGTGATAAGCTAATTGGTTGAGATGTATTAGATGTCATCATAAATTGTACTTGCATAAGAGGATTATTAATAAATAAGTGCCTATATGGCTTGAAGCACAAGGGTTTCTAGTGTAATCTTTTTTATTATTATTAAATCTCTTGCTTCCTATTGGAGAAAAACATAGGTAGAAGTCTGCTGGAGCTTCGGAGCTCCATGTGGGAAGCCTAGCATGGAGCTAACTTTTGTGGGTTTGATATCGGGCTAACGCGAGCTGCGAGTTGGTTCTCATCTTGCGCAACATATATTGTACACACTGTGCGTTTCAGCCTCACAAACTCACTCTACGCACTATTACGTTGCACATAATACTCGGACAAAATACTACAAGTTACGACCAACATTGCCTGCAGGGCATGGCTATTCAAGTGCTAAAAGTAGAAGACGAGATGAAAGGATGCTAAAGGATGCTTCGTCTTTTTTGCACTTCTGCACATTTTTTAGTTCAGAAGGTGTTCGGGATGAAACTGTCCTCGACCAAACCTGTGGCTTCCATTTTGAACAATTTTGAAGAATTAATTTAGGAATCTAAGTGGTCCAAGAATGCGGATGGCTTCCCCGTATTTTTCCTTCTCCCATCGTTATGATGAAGCTAACGAGTAAGCTCTCAAGTCCCGGAAAGGCCATCTAAGAGGGTGTACTTTTTTAGATCCGTCCCTTTGTTTTAATATTTTAAAAAAATGAGTTTGTCATGGATCAAATTCATTTTGGCCTTTTATGCTGGCAAAATTTCTAAAATTTCTACTGTCAAATTTTGTTTAATTTTAGTTGATCACCTCCGTGGAAATTGTAGGGGTTTAGAAGCATTTCACTTTTGTCTCTCGACGATTAATCTTTTTGCAGATTTCTTTCAAGCGAATCTCAAAACTTCTTCCAGTGTTTTGAAGTTCTTCCTATCCATGACTTTTTGTTCTTTCTCTAATTAATCGAAAAAAATTTATGGGATGATTAAGGTCAAGATGGAGTTTACATTATTCATTTAGAGTTGACTTTTCATCCTTTCCCATTAATTTATAAAAAGGTTAACTTTAACTTTAACATAGTTAAATATTTGATTGATGGTCAATTGAATTAAGATTAATTAAACTTGATTAAATATAAATTGATTCTTGATTAAATGCTAACTATTCTTCATAAAAAATTAGCAAATTGTTAATTTATAAATTAATAAAGACAAACTAATCAAAAAATATAAAAAAATTATAATAAGTCTGAAATGGTTTTGGGCTTGTTAAATAATGGGATTCAACTCAAAATCAAGTTTGATTCTATAAGTCTAGCCCAGAAGAGAAAAGAAACCGAGTTAGGATGTGGCTTAAATCGATTATATTAGACCAAGTACGTTAGTTAAGTCCAGATATCATCTTGCAGGTTTTGTTTATCCATTCAAGTTGCCCCAACTAGAAACAAGACCATCAACTGCATAAGAACACAAACTTAGAAAGCTTGAGAAACCTAGAAAATAATTTCACAAGAAAAATCTAATAATTTAAATTTTAATACAATATTGTAAACATCAACACTAATGAACTTGTAATAATAAGCTCTTCAAACAAAACTAGAGATTGCAAATTCATTATATTTTTAGTTCATAATTTGAACCATATTACATGAATATAAGCAGAAGAAGTGTTAGTGTTCCTAAAACTCAAGTTCAAGTTCCATAATCCTAACGTTGGATTCCAAAATCTTAATATAAATAGAAACCCAGGTGCCTATGTGTTCAAACTCATGAACCCAAGGATAGACTAATGAAAGGACGAAAAAAACTTTAATAACCCTATCTGTTAATTACTACTTTCTTGTCAGAAAATTGTTAGCTTTGAATAGAAACCAAGAAACCCTAGATCTAAACCTACGACATTTCTCTTGAAAGAGAAAGCAGTTACAAATTAAGAGTGTGTTTGGAATTACTGTAAAGTGCTGTGATTATAATTGTGTTGAATTATGCTGTAGATGTAGCTAAAAGTTATTTTGGTATTTGATTATTTATTTTTTAAAAGTATTATAGATGCAATATAAAAAATTTTACTAATTATTAATTAAATTTAAAAGATATTGTAAGATATATAATTATTAAAATAGATAATACTTATAATTTTTTAATAATTTAAGTTTTTTAGATTTGTTATCATTATTAAAATATTATAAATTATGATGTAATTAAATTATACAAAATTAAGTTTTAATGAGTAACTTTATAATTATATTAAATATTATACGTTCTTTATAAAAATCACAACCAAAAAATTTTAAAATGAAATTTCTGACTTTTTATATAAAATTATTATAAATTTACTATAACTTTCTGCAACTTAAAAAAAAAGTCTAAAAAAAAATTATTAAACACATATATTTAAAAATATTGTTTGACTATACAAAAATGCTCCCAACTACAACCCCAAATGCACCCCAAATCTCACTTCTCTCACACTAAGCTGTACTTTTATATTAAGGTTTGGTTAACGAGCTACTTCTCAGTCTTTTGCATCTGGGCTTGGTTTTGTTTAGGTTGGGCATATGAGGGGATTTAGATTAGTGTTTGCTCTTGGGTTTGAGTTTTGTGGAGTTTTAAGTGCACTAGGGTAGGCCAATAGAGATGAGAAAAGTGGGAATTAAAATTTGAGAAAATAGAAAGGAAGAAAGTCACTCAAATGAAAGCTAACACTATCTACAACTTTATATTTTTTTTATTATGTTAAATATAGTTCTTGCTTTATCCATTTTTAGTTGTCACACTTATAAGAAAAGAATCCAAGTTTAATTAGCACAATTTTTTTTTTTTATAAAGATATTGAATGCTTTGTTCCACTTTTATCTCCAATTAAATACGTTTAATAAAATTTTTATTAAAAAAAATAACAAAAGTAAAATCTAAAGGGGAAATGATTGTTTATTTATTTATTTATTTTTTGTTTAATTTCTCTTTTATTGTGCCACAAGAAAGACAACCAAAAATAGACAAAGGTAATGGTAAAGGGTTAGTTTTAAGAGCATGACAAACATTAATTGATTTGTCACTATAATAACAAGTTGTGATACTGTTAACTGGTTACCTCTAGTTTAATGGAAGAATTCCTCCTTCGACTTCACCTTTTCCACAAAAAATAGTAATAAAAGATCCAACCAATAATTTTTAAATCTAATAATATTCTCTTTCTCCCTTAACCAACTTTTCCTATTTATGTCTCCAACATTGATCTTACAAACTCACTCGTTCAAACCTTCTCATTTTTTCAAAATTTTATCTATACTCTATGAAAACTCTATGCGTCACCCTTATTCTTCAAATTCAAAAGAGAAGTTGTGAAGGAATTAAGAATATTACTGGGTTCATGTTTAGCAAATGAATAACATAAATCCTCCTTCCACCAAAAATATCGATTCTATTTTCAAAACTCACAAGCATCTCCACTAAAATGTCCTTTGACGGAAGCACGACCTACATTAGGCGATTCTTTCTAATCCATTGTAATAGCTATGTGTGTGTTATTGTTTATAGCAACATCGAACCTCACTATTGGTATTGTAAAAATCTCTTAGAAGTTGAACTAGTCTTGAAGACCCAATTGTTTTGTGAAAGTCCCCTCACTCAAAATGCCAACATATAAGAAATGCCATTGCATGGCATGTGACTGCCAAGTTTTTGTAGCCCCACTCTATCCACAATTAGGGCCTCTATTTTGTTTCAGTTCTTCTCATAGAACTTGATGCTATCACCCCATTTCCATGTAATGAATTTCTTGCCACCTTCTTTGCAAATTCCTAGGCATTGGTAATCTCCCATGACACCAATCTACACAATTAATGGGTAATGATTTAGATGATGTGTGCCCTACAAAGATGTAGAACAAGTCTAAGGTTATAAAGGAGCTTCTGAAACATTTAAATCTAAAAACTACACTAGTCTTTGCCGAATATGCAATAGTCAATGTTTGAGATTGAAATTACTAGGGAAGTAGAATTTTAGCTGTGCAATGCATTAGAAATACTTAGAAGACAGGATTAAAGCGAAGTAAATGTAGTGCGCTTATGTTTACCATGAGTCTTACATCTTTATTCAGCTGAAACCGTTCAATTTTTATCTTTTTAATAGGTATAAATTGCCTACATAGGATAAAGAATGCAATGAAGGGATGAAATTTGGTGTTGACTCTAATTCTACTAGAAAAAAAGATTTAGATTGAAAATCGTAAGTAAGTGTTTATTGTTCTTTTTGATCTTTGTATGATATGTTCCAAATTTTCTTTGTGGAGTATGTGTTTGTGTTAAAATTAAAGAAGAAAATAAATATAAAGTAATAGACGGATAGTTTTCCCAAGAATATCCTTAATTTTAAGGATGCAATTTTTTTTCTTAGTTCTTAAAATCTTTTAATATTAAAAACCCAAAAGGCTTACCCAAAGTTCT